TGTAGAGGATAAATACAGTCTTGAGATAGCAATTTTAAATAACTGACAGAACATAGGTAGTGAAATGGACTTCAGGATTTTCTATGAGTATTTGGGGAGTCAAAATTTGGTTGAAACAAAATAAGATTTGGGAGAAATTTTTAATGCAAAAATGTAAACTTCTGTTATTTTACCTGCATAGTGATTTCTGACTTTTCTGTGAACAAGAAAGTTAATACAAGAGCAGGTTTATGGTTGCAATACAGAGAAAAATAGAGTTTTTTTTTTTTTTCAAAATATACCTTTATTTTTAATAAGATCTCCCCTAATGTTCTTAAGTCATTGTGTGCCAGTAAAATGTATTGACAATAACAACCTCAGAATGAAGCTATATACTGTGAAAAAAAAAATGATTTCTCTTCTGATATAGAAAATAGGCAATTTTATTGCTATACTAGTACAGACATATACCCTAAACAAATCAATTTTATTTTGTTCCAAGCTTCCCATTATCAATGGGAATGCATTTCTTTGATTAAGATTACAGAATAGGCTCAACATCCAAGAGATATGTTTCTTTAATCATGAAAAACATATTTCATGACTAAGCTAATAAGTTTTCTTTCTCATGAATTTTAAGAGATTTTATATACTTCCGAATATTTTGATCTTAATACTTAATTGTATTATTCCTTAAAAAACAAAAGAACTGACTTCATTTGTGTTTTTAATAATTATATTGCCCAAAATTTTATTTATAAACAAAGATTCTAAAAAAGGGAGGATATAGGTAAAACAGTATAATTCATAAGTATAATTAGTCTAATCTTTTATTTATTTAGATCTCTCTGTATTAAAATTTGAAAGAAATACAATATATGAGGTATAACAATAGGGATTGCAGTTTCCTTTGTCCTCAGCATAGTGATAAAAAGGACCAATTGATCTTCCACTGTAATGGTCTTTTCCTGGCCTGTTTGGGTGGAAAAGACTTAGTCTACTTTGAAACTTTTCACAGGCTTAATTACTTGTAATACACAATCCAACTTACGATTTTCTGAAATTAGAGTTTGACAAAAGGTGGAAGGAGCAATAGAGAAACAAAATTAATAAAACTATTCAATTTACCAAGAACTTTACTCTTTTCTGTGCTTCACAGAGAAAAGTCTATCTTATATTCATAACAACTCCAGAAGATAAATATGAAGATATTATTTCTATTTTAAATTGAAGGGCCATGTAAACAACATTTAAATTGACATTTAGACTTTCACAGGAGATATAGTCACAAATTCCAGACTACAGCCTCAGAAGCCCAGACTGCAAACCTCCCCCTCCCCCTAATATTCATTGATTCAGGCATAAATACCTTATATTCGTTTTGACCAGTTCCATATTTTGATTCAAGTCACTGGGAATCCAGAAAGTGAATTGTAACCTGGCATCTTCAAACTATTTGTTCCAATACAGCATCTGACCTTCCTATATTCAAACAGAAATTGAGATGGCTAAAAATGAGAAAAACAGCTGGTTCACTTAAGACTGGACATAATGAAAGGAAGTAATGATGCATGCTGAGGGAGGCAGAGGTAAGAGCATATTTTTTCCATGCATTGGAAATCATATTTTGAGGAGATATCTACTGAATAAAAACTGGTATAAGTATAAATATTGCACTTAAACCTAAATTAGAGAAGAAATTTGAAAAATTTTAAATTGAGATATTTGATTATACTAATTGACATTTATCATTGTATGATCAATGGTGTGAAATTTATGTGCACTTGAAAAGAGAAAATGTCATTCAGGAGATGCAATTTGAGTTGCTGATTCAGTGTTAGCTCTCATTCTGGAAAAGAAAAATTCTAAACTTCCTTTTAAGTAAGGATAGAAATAAAATTAAACTTTTTTGAAAATTATAATTATAGATTAAACTTTTAAAACATATTATTGAAAGTGCTCTGTATATAGTAAAACTGCAATGGCTGAAATCATCTTCTAAGTTATGATTTCAATGGCTCATGGAATGAATCATCAAAGCCAATTGAAATATTTGAAGTAAATTTTACACAAAATAAAAATATACCCCAAGCTATCTTTGGAAGAATGAAATAGCATGCCTTCTAGAAAACTGGAAATAGTGTTGTAAGAGATACAAAACCAAACTGCCTTATAGAAAGGTAGCCTCCGCTCGCTGGAAGGTGACTGACACAGAGGACTCTTCTGAATGCAATTTTTTTATTATTATTTTTTGGTAAGGGGAAAAGCATGATTAGTGACAGAGGTGGAGAAAATCCACTGAAATAAAAAACCTGAAAAAAAATTATCACTCTACTTCTGAAACATTTTCTTGTATTTGTTCTGAAAAACACATGGAATGAGGAAATTGCTCAAACACAGCTTTTCAGGGTTTTTAAAAATAGGCAAGTGAATGCGAAAAAAGAGCAAGTGAGAAACGGAATATAAGGAAGTAGAACTCTGAGGCTGTCTACCTGTCAAACTAACAAATCACTGAAATATCATACTGTAGGGTGGTCACATTTTGAAAATGTATCTCAGTGTAAAAATATTGAAATAACACTACAATATGTGAAATTCTGTGTTGCTAAATATTAAGAATAATTCATTAAAGAATAAAAATTGTAGTTGTAATAGGGAAGTGATTTGGTCTTTGGTTTTTGAATTTTTTTAGTTCAAAATATTTTCCTGCCTAAAACAATGACTATAGAATAGAGACACAACTGTCCTCTAAAAATAGGCTGGGGTTGTGGCTCAGTGGTGGAACACTGGCCTAGCACACATGGGGCACTGGGTTTGGTCCTCAGCACCACATAAAAATAAGATAAAGATGTTGTGTCCATCTACAACTAAAATATATATACATATTAAAAATATATGCTAGCCAAATTTGTTCTTAAAAATACAACTTTTTATTGTCCTCATTTTATTTTTACTGAGATGAATATATAGATACACTGACGAGGCTCCAATAATCAAAACCTGAAATATATGTTAAATGTGACTGGTTAAAAACTTCTTGTAGTTTAGGCCCAAGTTTTATTTTCTGAAAAAAATTAATGTTGTCTTCCGTTTTCTCTGTAGATACACATAATTTGAGGATTTTCCTCTAATACCTCTTTTTTGGCTGGTAGGTGAAAATGAAAGATGCAGTTTCCTGAAAAAGGGTTCTAGTCCTTATGAATTTCTTGTTTGGGGTAGAATAAGTTCAATTACCTTGGCTAAATAATGAATTTCATTCAATCACTTAGAGTTTATATTCACCTTCTCTTACCATCTTGCATTGTCATTATTTCTCTGCATGAATCCTCTAGTCCTTACAGAATCATTTATATTTCCACATTTGCTCTAGCTACTCTCGGCTCCTATCTCACCCTGTCTCCCTCTAACCATGTGCTGTTCCCCCTGAATTAAAGAACACTTCCAGTGCTGCACCTTATTAGAACAATTTTATTGTATTGCTATGACCTTTCAGAGCATCCTTTCTGAGCCTCTATTAACACTTGCTACTTGGTCTTATATTTCATTGCCCACACATAAAAAGAGTTTGTATTTTTGTATGCAGTTCTCGATTCTCTAAATGTAATTAGATCCTCATTATTTATATATAATCAGTTAGATTAGAATTTAATTAGATCCATGATAATAAGTGTCACCAGAATATATATTTTTAAATATCTCTTTCGATTCCTGAATACTGTCATTTTCTTCTTTGTTGTCATCTTTTTAAACACATATTATATTAAAATATATGCATATTATATTAAACATATTATATATATTATATTTAACACATATTATATTAAAATATATACATATTATATTAAAAATATAGGCATTATATAGTGCATCTAACTCAATAAATATTTCTCTTTGGAACTAAGATATTTGAAATGACATTTTGAAAAGATCAATAGATGATTTAGAACAACAATTTGATGTTTTTTTGAAATAAGAAAAAGTGCCTTGATGAAATTATTAGGGTGACACTAACTATAATGATCCTTTTTTTTTTTTTTTTACTTCTAGTATTGCTGGACAATGAGACTGAACCATCTGATGAAATGCAATGTGTAAATGGCACCTTGCCTTCCTCAGAGGATCTAATTTCAAGAACTTTTGAATGTACCATTTCTGCATTAACTTTCACCTCAGAATTTAAAATTAATCATCAATAAAATAATTTTGATATCTCTGCAGTGTTGCAGAGCAAAAATTTTTCAATTTCATAAACACAGCAAAGTGGATAAATGTAACCATTCTTCCCTATAGTAAGAACTTTTTCCTTTTGTTTTCATCATCTACAAAGAAAAAAGTCTTTTATTTTCCAGTTTTTTTTATTAAAAAAATGAAGCCCTCACTACATCTTTCATTGCCATAAGCCAAAATAGTAACATGTCTTTGATATGTTAAAAATCATTGAATTTAATATTTTCATTTTAAAGTTATGTATTTGGAAACTGAAAAAGTGATTGGGTTCTGTGCTAGTCATCTTCAAATGGTTATAAAATTTGTTTGGCTGCAGGGTTTCTAAGATTAACTTCTGCAGATGATGTAAAAAATAAAAGTCAAAGTGGTTTTATTTCCTTTGCATAATATTTAATTTTTAATCTTTAATTTTTTAGTCATAAATGGTAAAAGGGAGAAAGTGAGAGAGAGAGAGAGAGAGAGAGAGAGAGAGAAAGAGAGAGAGAGGAATTTGAATGTCAGTTATATATTTCCCAAGATACATGCTCTGACTTATTTTTTTTAATTCTTAAAATTGAAAGTCAAGTAATTCAATTGAATAACATACCTAGAAGCTAAGCACAAATTGAATTTGAAACTTGAGACTCTTCCCTTTTCCCAAATAACCAGCTCTAGAGTTCCAAATTGTCAAGATCAAGGTATTTCAATGCTAAACCATAATGACTTTCCCCAAAAGTATTGCATTTAAGAATGTTTTACTATCAAACTTAGGTAACTGGAACTTTTTTGGTGTCTCTGAAACGAGTCTCTTCGAAATTTTGCTTATTTTCCCTACATTCAACTAAACCAGAAAGGAGACACCAAATCAAACTTATGGGTAAAAACAAGTGAGAGCAAACAGAACAATGACTAATTGTGTATTAAACATTCTTCATTACTGAGAATGGTGATCCCAATACATTTTCCTGTTTCTATGCAGATTTCTTCCTAAACTGTAGTATCCTAAGGATCAAAGTTAAAACACTTTTTAGTGTTTACAACAGGTACTGTGTGTGTTTTTATCATCTCAGAAAATTTGCTGTACCCTATTTCATTTTTTTTCCTTCTCTTTGTGTTCCCATATCTACAAATTAGCTCCATACTGCATCATTGGAAGTTAAACACTAGGCTGGATAAAAGCCAAAAATTTCATTTGAGTCACCTGTTTATGGTGAACCTTCCACTACGATTTTATATGTTTCACATATTTGGATCACATCTCTGTCTTGAATATTACTTTATTCTCCCAAACATTCTTCAGGAAGACATATGTGTATGTGTGTTTACCCATATGGCTAAGTGAATGCAATTTCTTTCAGAATAGCCCCTGCTTGTACCATATGATAGAAAAGTCACACTTTACCTCTGTATAAAGCTCCACTTTGGTTATAATTTCTTCCTGTAACTCTTCTTCAAATCTGTGTTTGTGCAGCTTTGTCATAGAAATAATTTCTGACAATACATCTTTAGTTATTTCTGTAAATCCTTTTAATTTCTCGGTGTTTGCACAAAGTATTTGAAGTTAATAAATACTGCTAAGAAATACCCTAGATAAAAACATTGTCATATTATAATCTTTAATTTATCAGTCACCATTTGTAAAGAATCTGTCTGAAAATTGCTGTATTAATGAAAAAAATAATTTAAATTTAATGTATTTTAAAAATTTATGTCTATAAATATTAACTGAATCTTCAGAAATGTGAAGTGACATTATTGACATTTGAGTCCATGGCTGATTCTTTGTGGCCAAAGCTCAGAGTTGATGTATATATACTTGACCCTCAAAACTCTTTGAGAACTTTATTCTGTAACTGATCAACTGGAGATTTTATAGTAATGTATCTATTTTTAAATAATAATTATGCTCAATTTATAGAACTTTTAAAAGTCATCACTATTTTCTTTATTTAGAATAATAGAAGAAAAAAAATGAGACCCAATCTCAACTGATAAGAATATACTTGTCTAGTTTCCAAGTCCATATACAAAACAGTACTTGGAATGTTATCATTAATAGAATTTTAAAACATACAAAAATGAAAATATATTTCCAAACTACAGATGATCCATTTTGACTTTATATTTGGATTCAAGATCAGAGGCTTAGATTATGGGTCATCACTATAATGTGTAATTAAAAAACAAATTGTACTAGTGTGCTTGATACTTCAAAATCAGGGAAATATTTGAGTACCAGAACAAGTCAGAGAACTTTGACTTTTATGTAAATGGTTAGAAGGAAATACACATTTTTTATATTTCAAAACCTCATCAGTGAAGTTACAAGGTAAATATTTCAAAAAATTAGAAGCCATGGATAGTTCATCAAAATCTAAATTCAAACGCCTGATAAACTTCAGAATCCTGATGTTTCTCCTCCTTTTGGAATGGGAAAGTCAAGACATCAGGGTCATAGTCGATCTCTAAGGTTTTCTCTCCTTTCAGGACTAAAGTAGTCCAGCGTTAGCATAATCAGAGCCTGTGTGTCCATAGGCTCTTCCCCGAGGCCCTCATGTCTCTTTGGATTCATGCTCTACACCAGAACACACACCATTATGATGTAAAAAATGATAAAGCAGCATCTGGAAAGCTAAAATGTTGTAAAAACCTTAAATTACATTTTATTCCTCAGGCTTAAAACACAAATTGAGAATTATTCAAATTAAATTTACTTTCTTCCCATACCTCAAAAATGAAATATGATAGCGCAGGGCAGCTGTGACATGAGGCAAAATTCAAAATTTTGCACATGGGTAGAATTACACAAAATGTCATGTGACTTTTGGAAACACTAGATCATGAAAAAAAAAATTAAAGTGCAAAGAAAAATTTTCCCATCAAATAATTTGCATTTCATGAATTTAGAAATTCTAGTTTAACTGAATATACAGATGGGCTCACTTAGAAAATCGGACTTATTATGCTATGAATATTTACTTCGAGATCAAGAGCAACACACAAAAACAAAACATTACCCAAAACAATTTGAAAAACAAAAATCCCCAAGAAATATTAAGAAAATTAGATTGTTTAGGAAAATATTAAAACAAATAGACTTATGCATTACATATTTAGTTAAGCAGTAACATCACTGTTTATGATTTCATGACATTCTTCCATAATATAATATTTTATGTAAAATGTATGTAAATATATATTTATAAGTTAATGGAATTAGAAAATTAGTGTCTACAAACATGTATGGAGCAGAATCCTTTGCAGTGGGTAAAGCAGTTTTACAGATGCTTGATCCTCACAACAGCCCTGTGAGGTAGGCAGGGAAGTCAGTCCATTTCTATCTTGCACTTTTGGACCCTGAATTTCAGAGACATTCAGGCATGTGTCCAATGATAATAAGTGTGAAACTCCTACTTTTTGTGCCCAGTCCTACATATTCCTCTGTAGACATCAAACATGTAAGGACTGATAAGTCTGAACCCGTGTAAAGAATAAGTCAACCATGAGTCTATGTTTATGCTACTTGAAGGATAGTCCTTTTAGACTTTGATAACATGTGAGGTACATATTTTTGATGACTGTCTATGATGAAAATGGAAAATGAATTAAGACTGAAGCAAAAATTTTGGCTGATTTCAGTTTTCTAAAATAAAGGGAAAAAAAATAAAAAGTTCCTCAACATTTTGTAAAGGATAAGGTTTGTATCTATTTATAAAATAAATCTTTCCCTGACGTATCAGATTTTCAGAGTATACCTTCAACAATTCATTCTATTTATTAAAAAAAATGGGGGGGAGGATCTCCTGTTAAAATAAAGGAGGGCAGACGAGACAGAGACTATTGTCTCCTGCTCAGTACGGTGCATGTCTGGTACACCGAAGTTGCATACTTTATAGTGCAGGCAGCAAATCCCCATGCTCCATCAATTTTGTATGGAGAAAAGAAGTGGGGAAGGGCAGAGGGAAATGGTACAAGTCCATGACAGAATGGTCTGGTAGAGGGGGAACACCGTATGCAATTTAAACACAAGACAAGGCTAATGGGATCTGTCACAACAGTGTGTGGCTCTCAAGACTCCACTCAATAAAGTGGAAAAACAGGTCATGATTACCTTCATGAGTTTCCTTTTGCAATCCACCACCCCTAAAAGTCATAGTTGTCAGTGATTTTGAGCCCCTTTTTGTAGTTTTGCTTTAGGAAAAAAGAAATCACAAAATATTGAAACAAATATTCGTGTTTGGCTTTTTTTCAGGTATTCTTAATTAAACAGTACCACAGACTTTATTGAGCAATTGAAAATATACACAAGGACAGCAGATTTTTCTCTGCATTTTTCTTTTATATTTTGCTTTCTTCCAATTAAATAACCCAGTTTGGATTGTAGAAAGGGCACTTGTTTCTACAGGAGCTGTGTACAGCTTGCTCAGTTCAAGTACTGTTTCCATGGTTATGCTTTGTCATTGCTGAGGTTATGTCTCCACTTGCTGAGGAAGCAGATTCCACAAGGTTTTAAGAATTGGCCCCCTAAGTTGTTCTTTCAGAATCTATTTCTCCATAGAGTTCAGCTAACTTTTTAAACTCAGGCCCCCAGTCTCCAAGGTACTGATAATCCTGGTCTGATTGTGTCGTTGCTGAATCCAGTGAGCTGATAGATCCAGCTTCTGATCTCTGACCCTCATAGGCATAAGTCTGAAGAGAATCATATGGAGGAACACTGGGATCTAGGTCTGCTTCTGCCAGTCTTTGCTTTATGAACTCCTGAACATCTATAATTTCCAGGGTGGACAGTGTCTGGTGCCTGGGAGTGAGCTTCACTTCAGGTCGGATGTCCCTCCGGTATTTGAGCTCCTCAGCTGCAGAAGGGTTCCTCAATGCGGTGATGTCAAAGGCCTCAGTGTCTTCCTCCCCGCCTCCCTCATCATCATAGGTGACCACATTCTCTCGCACATCCTCTTCTGAAATGATCAATGGCTCTTTTTTGCTGCGCCTCAAGGTGATAAAAAGTACTACAATTGCTGAAGAAGAATGGAAAAAGGATAAACAGTTAGGGGAAAGGAAAATTCGTGGAGATCTGACATCAGCAATTTACTATGCCTGTCACCACACTCTAGCACTCGGCTGGCACTGCATCACAGCATTCACCTGTGCATCCTGAATAACACCTCAAGGTATTTTAATGCCCTAAGAATGTAACAAAATGATCATCCCCATGGAACATTGTGAATTGCAGATCTTATTTCATCAGGCTTAGGAACTCAGGTTTCTTGAATCAGACTACTGAAAAACTATTCTGTGTCTAATGTGACAGAAACAAATGGTGGACAAATAATTGAATTTTGAATTAAAAAAAATAACATAATGTGTTTGTCTATCAATAGATACTTAATCATTTTAGGTGAAGACGCCAAAGACAGGATGTATTGAGTTCCTTTAAAATTCAAAGAAGGGGCCCCCTCTACTTTTACCCTTTGATATTTGATGTCTTGCTAAAGAGTAAAGAAATAATATTGTATAAGGCTGATCTCCCTTGTTCAGTACCTTTTATTGTATCAGACAATAAAAATGCATTTACCCTATCAAGTTGCAAAAGAATGTTACTTTATTTGGACACAACATAAATTTTATTTTCATATATTTTATATGTTTATATTGTATCTTTTTTAGTTTGTGAATGTTCTTCACATACCTTATTTATTTAATCCTCAACTTTGGCTTTACTCAATTAAACAATGAAGAAGCTGGATGCAGAAAAGTGTATTAAGATGGAAAGAATTGTTCCCATAGAGGGTAGGTGAAAGGGCTAGCACTCTGACTTCTCACACCAGAAGCAATGATATTTCCAGAACAGTGTTCTACTTTTTTTTTTTTTCAAACATATAGAATAAGGAGCTAAGTGACCTGTTGGACAGTGGTTTAGGATAGTTCTCAACAAATATGGTGGGTTAAAATTACCAGTGATGTTGCAATCACCAGATAAAGTAATAGAAATGAACCTTGGGCACTTTGCTTTGGCTAATTCTCAGGATTTTAAATCTTTCTGTTTGAGATATTAAATTCACACCAAATAGAAAGGATTATCTCACTTGAACTTTGGATACACTGTCTTCAGGCACAATAGAGTACACTACAGTCTATACACGGTTCTTTACATTGTACTAATTAAGGAAGTGCATTCAAATGCCATTTCAGATTATTAGATTCATCAAATGAAAATTAAAAAGCAGGATATTCAATTATGTGTAAATGTGAGATGATAACATATACAATACACACTATTATATATTATTATATGTTAATTAAGTAAACCTCATATAGTATTTGGCATTTATACATACCAAAATATTGCAGAAAGCACATATATGCCATATATGTCCAAAATATTATATTATTGCACTCTATATTTTTTACAGGGTGAGAGCATATACACATACTTTTATCTGCTGTGTGTGTGTGTCTATATACACACACTTTTATCTGAAATTCACATTAACTGGGTTCATTACATTTTACCTGCCAACTCCAATTATATTTAAACTTTAAAAATGTTTATTCCTTTTATTTGGGGGAAAATTACTTTTACTCAATGAAATAAATATGCATTTAATACCACTGTGTACTTTTTTCTTTAAATCCACCTCTCAGTTTTCTAAGTCAAAGCCCTAAACACATCATCAAGTAACTAACTTCATTTTATGCAGAGGTGAAGATTTATCACTTCACTGAAAATTTCTGCTCATATTTATGAATAAATGAGGAGGCTGTTCGAGATTGGATGTCTTATTTCTACAGACTACTTAATTCATTATAGTGAAAATTCTTACTTTCATTAATAAATCTAGTAATTTTATTTTATGGTGAAATGGTTAGCTGTTGATTTCAAGGAAATTTATGTACATGCATAATAGGAAAGATATAATCAATCCTATTATGGAATTATGGAGATTATTTTCATCCTTCATCAAACTTAGTGCAATGCTTCAATTCTTGTGTATGTATCATACTTGGTGAGTGAAATGTGGGGGTAATGCTATGTTTTTTATTATGATGGTTTATATTTGCTTATTCTCCAAAAGTTTTGAAAAAAAAATTCTTATCTTCTCATTCAACATATAGATGCTAGATGCTTGAACATTTTTATATTTACAGTGCACTCTTTTCTAGGTAGTTATTGCTAGTAAACAGTGATTCATAGAATTGCTACATTCCAGCTTAATATAATATCAAAACATAAATAATAACATAGACTGTCATACTCTTAAGAGAAATAGGATGTTTATTATCATCATATTAGGACCTCAGGGTATACATGGACATATGGTTCCTCTAGTCAAATCTACCCACTGAAGCAAGCTGAAACCCAGTTCACATGTGTGTTCCTGATGCACTCTCCCACTTGTTTTTAGCAGATATTTGTGGCAGTTGGCACAACGCAAATACTCTACAGACAATTCTTACGTAGATGGGCAAAAGAATAATCTTTGTGAAGGCTTTAATGAACCTTCATGAATAGTAGTAGCCTTAGTGGAAATTTATTTTAAATATTTTTTTTAAAAATCAGCTCATGGCTATTAAGAACATTAGACTACTAATTTACTTATGAATAGTTTGAACTAAATTATGTTTCAAAAAAATCATAATACCAAAGTATATTTTAAGATGATAAGTGCAGAAAATAATTACATAGGGAGATTTGACAATCATATTCTTATTTTAAAAATCTGGAACTCAAATGAAAATATTAAAATGACCCCTCCCCAATTTAATCTCTCCAATCATGCATATTATACAAAGTACCACTCATACTAGACATAGGAGCCAAAAACATACACTGGAGAAAAGTTAACTTCTTCAACAAATAGTGCTGGGAAAACTGAAAATTCATATGTAGCAGAATGAAATTGATCCCATATCTATCACCCTGAATAAAACTCAACACAAAGTGAATCAAAGACCTAAATATTAGACCAGAGATCCTGCACCTATTAGAAGAAAAAGTAGGCCCAACACTTCAACTTGATGGTTTGGGAACTGACTTCCTCAACAAGACTCCTAAAGTTCAAGAAGAAAAATTAAAAGTCAATAAATGGGATGGTATCAAACTAACAAGCAAATTCACAGCAAAGGAAACAATCAAGAACATGAAGAGAGAGTCTACAGAATGGGAGAAAATCTTTGCCACCTGCTCCTCAGAAGAACTAAAAAACTTAACACCAAATAAACAAACAACCCAATCAATAAATGGGAAAAGGAACTAGACACACACTTCTCAAAAGAAGAAATACAAACTATAAACAAATACATTATAAAAATATTCAATATCTCTAGCAATTAGAGAAATAAAAAATAAAACTACACTGAGATTTCCCCTCATTCTAGTCAGAGTGGCAAGAATCAAGAATAAATATTGTGAAGGATGTGGGGAAAATGTTACACTCACACATTGCAGGTGGGACTACAAATCCATGTAAGTACTGTGGAAAGCATTACGGAGATTCTTCAAAACCTAGGAAAAGAACCACCATTTTACCCACTTAGGCCACTTCTCTTATCTAAAGGAGTTAAAATCAGCATTTTACAGTGATGCAGCCACATCAATGCTTACAGCAGCACAATTTGCAATAGCCAACCCATGGAACCAACCTAGGTGCCCTTCAATAGATGAATTGATAAAGAAAATGTGATATATGCACACAATGGAATGCTACTCAGCCATATAGAATGAACTTATGACATTTGCCATTACATGGATGAACCTGGAGACTGTCATACTAAGTGAAATAAACCAATCCCCAAACACCAAAGGTCAGACATACCACTGATATGTAGATGTTAACACACAGCAAGGTTGCAGAGATGGGGAAAAAAGATGTTCAGTTGATTAGACAAAGGAGGATGCGAAAGGAAGGGAGGGGATATAGGACTAGGAAAGACAGTAAAACTAATCTGACATAACCTTTCTTTTGTATATATATGAATACAACACATACATCTGCAAGACTGGGATTCTAATTAGAATAAGATATACTCCATGTTTGTATGAATATGTCAAAACATACTCTACTGTCATGTATAACTAAAAAGAAGAAATAAAAACTGTGGGGCTGGGGATGTGGTTCAAGTGGTAACGTGCTCGCCTGGCATGTGAGGGGGGTTGGGTTCGATCCTCAGTACCACATAAAAATAAAATAAATGTATTGTGTCCATCAAAAACTAAAAATAAATATTAAAAAATATCTCCTCTCTCTCTCTCTTAAAAAAATAAAATAAAATAAAAAAACTGTGGGCTCCAGTTTCTGCTATTCAACAACAAGCTCCAAATACATCATGAAGTCCCACTCCACATTCTTTGCCATTCTTCTGATTAAAAGGGTCTATAAAAAGTGCTCTCAACAGTAAATAACGGTTCTCACAAAATGTACATGTACGGTTTAAAGTTAGGCTTTTGGTTTCCAAGCACTATTTTCAGATAAGCAATAGATTTTTGCCTAAAATTAGAACATATTTAAATTGAAAAATCACATAAAAAATGAGCATAGAAATATTTAACAGCTGAGTTTACATGATTCTTTTATCAGAAACCTCATATTCACAGGTTCAGGATTAAAAACAAGAGGATCTGAAATAGGTCACCCAAATCAGGTAATTATAAGTACAACCAATGCCAAATTTATGAACTGAAACTTATAATTAAAATATGTTTTCAATATTAAAATATTAATTTCATAATTGGTATAGCCATTAGGGTGGGATGTTATTTTAGAATTTCAGGTTGTAATGTCTTGCCAGTGTTGGTATTGCATATATTTTCCATGAAGTCTAATACATTACATTCTAATTACATTCTGTGTCTGTTGTCCAGATATTTTCTGAAAAGAATAAAACCTTACAATGCCATTAGCAATAAAAATTACTTTGTCATTAAAAATTGATTAAAACTTAAGAAAGAATTATAAAATATTTAGATAAAAGCATAAAACATATTTGAGTATTGATATAAAAATATCAAACATACCAAATAGAAAATGTGTTTTATTATTCTTGACAGAGAATATAAAATGTACAAATGTTCTAATAATTATCCTTACAAGCTAAAATATATTTTTATAAATGTTAATTAAATGAAGTATTATTCTTATGAATTATTAAAATGTTATTAGAATAACACAATTTAAAACTATATATTGATTTTTTTCAATACATTTAATTATTTATCATATTTAATGGTAATGGTTGTATGATGATAAATGAAAACAAAATTGAAGATCACAAATAACCTATCATTCAAAATTAAAAAGTTTTACCAGTGTGTCTCCCCATCATGTATAACCACAAAAATTGGAAGTTATACTCCATGTATGTAGTATATGTAAAAATATATTCTACTGTCATGTATAACTAAAAAGAACAAAGAAAAATATTTTTTAAAATAATTTATATTAAAATCATAAACTTTTATTCTCTGTGACTTCAGTTAAGAACTCTAAGGGGATCCAGTGTTCTGTTGCTGCTGTATGACTTTATTTTCTGTTTTGGATGTGTTTTTTGTGTGTGTGTTTGTGGTTTTTCTTTTTTTAATTTTATGGAGAAAAACAAAATATGTTAGAGTCTGTAAACAAGTCAGGATGGCGCCTGGCATATTGCCAGAGGGAGTGGTTTGTGAAGTAACACCAGGGAGCCATTAATTGTGGAGATTCCTTATTGGTTGACTGATGTATCTAGTTTATGCTAATTAAGATAAGCTGTGTGGAATGTATAAATACCACTCCTGTCCTACAATAAACGGCTCCTACTCCTGCTGTATCAATCTACACAAGTTGTTTGTCACCCCCGGTTAGTTTGCTGCAGCCGGACTGCGACAAAAATACATAAGGACAATAGCAGTTATGACTAATAAATAAATTTTTAAAGCCTGATTTCCCTCTTTTCCTTATGTACCATGCATTTACTATATGTTATGATTTGAATATGAGTTGTTCCCAAAGGCATGGGAGACAGTGAGGTACCAACCAGAGGTGAAATGATTAGTTTATGAGAGTTGTCAGTTAAGCAGTGGATTAATCCATTTCATCTTTTAATAACTTGAAAGTATTACTGTACTCAGTGATAATTATAAGCAGGTAGTGTATAGCTTGAAGATATAGGTCACTGGTATCACTGATTCCTTGTTCTCTCTCTGTTTTCCCAGTGGCTTAAACTGAGCCACATTTGTTGGCCATAGTCTTCCATCATTATGCTTTTCTCCACCTTAGACACAGAGCAATGGATTTGGCTGACTAAGCACTACATCTTTGAAACTAGGATCCAAAATATACTTTTCATCCTTTAAGTGGTTCTTATCAGACACTGTTTCATAGAAAGGGAAGCTGACTTAACACTGTAAAAGATCCTACCGCAGTGAAACAGCTCTTGTTATGGTGTTGCACAAATTATGCATGTTTCTGGTTGCAAACAATAATTTTTAGGTACAAATTGTTGAACTTGTGAGCAGTTTTTGACATTGAATAGATTCAGTGTGTAACACAGTGCTCTATTCCCATCAATACTCTTTCCTATGTACATTTGTGACACTGTACTTGACTAAATTTCTATCTTTCTGATTTCTTTGCTGTCCTCTCTTATCTCATCCCTCCTGACATGGCAATCACTTTGAAGTTTCACACAGCTCAGTTCTACTCTTTACTCTCTGTATTTTTTTTTTTTTTTTATTTTTGCTATGTAATTTAACCAAAATGGATTAATCCATTGCATAACTAAGGGAGAATCAGGGTATACACTCAGCAAGAGATGAATAGACAAATAGCCCTGTTTGATACTGTTCCAACTTACTCAGACATCTAAGTTATCAAAGGTATTTATCATATTTTGATATTATTCACTTTTTTTCAAATTAACTCAAAATGTGCTGATCCAATTCATGCCATGTCAGAGGAAGACTACTCCCCTGTTATTCTCTTAGCACCATGAGATTTTTTTCTTCAATTCAGTCACTGTGATCTTTTCCACTTGCCAAATTTACAATGAGACTCTCCTGTTTTAATCCAGTCTACACACCTGCAGCAAACCCCCATTTTTTTCAGATACACAATAGCATTACATTTTCTCACACATGCTTCTTATGTTCCTTCTCCTCGTCAGCCTCATTCCAACTTACTCTCTTCACCACCTATGCAAGCAGGTTACCTTCCTCCCAGGAACAAAACCTGGAATATTCTTTGTGGGAATACCCTAGTCTTAACAAAAAATACAGTGCTTTTTTTTTTTTTTTTTCACATGTGCACACTACCAAGAAAGGTCACAAATAAGTCTCTAATGGAAAGGAGGAAGTGGGGACACACTGGAAGACAAACACATATGCACTCTAAACTATGTAGAAAAAACGGCTCATATCTACCTTTATTGTTACAAAATCTGGGTGTACTATCTTACTTTCTTTTTTTTTCTTTCTTTCTTTATATTGTGTCTGTCTTAAATAAGATCTAAAAGTTTGAGATAATATCAGTTTGAAATATAGATGTGATGAGGTTTAGAATACACATCTAACATCCATTAGAATATAACAAGAGCTAATATAAAACTGGATTTTTTAATAAAATAAAATGCAATGCAAATCTCAGATTCGAGAAAATCTTACAGTATTTAATATAATATAATTGAATTTAATAAAATATATGATATTTCAGGTTACAGTGTCTTAGAATGAATATGTTAAACTCAGCTAACATTGATGATTAACTGATATTTGGGAATTACAGAAGTTTCTATAAGACTTTTATATTCTTATTTGGTTATCAGATTTACTTTATTGTATATGTCTGTGATGTAAACATGATATTTGAATATATTACTATCCAGTGACATGATAACTATTATCAAGCAAATTAACATATTCTTCATCTCACATTTACCCCCTTTTCATGTGTGTGTGCTAAAACAACTTAAAATCTACTTTTTTGACATTTTTTTATCGATATAAAACCATGTTATTATTAACTCTAGTCCTCATACTGTATATTAAATTTCTGTGCTTATTTATACTATGGCTATAAGACCCAAGTGGGCTGACCTTGGCTGAGCTAAGCAGGGTAGGTCCTAGACATATTAAAACGATGTCTTTCTGTTCCCAGAAATTAATTGAAAAGTTCTTTCCAAATGGGACTTAGAATATCTTACTATTAATTTTTCTAAAACACATACTTTCAAAACTTTTTCTCTTAGATTTCATATGTTGCTGATATTCCAACTCTTTCCCGAGTTTTGAATCAAATTAGTTCCAGATTACAGATTTGTAAAATTTAATTTAATAGAATATGTGCAGCCATGTTTTATTACCCCCATTATGCCTTTGTAATCCTTATATTTCAAGAATACGATTTACTCCCATTCAGAACTGCCACTGTACCACCTTAGGCTGTAGAATGACTTACCCAGGAGAATGACAACACAGAGAAGGATAGCGATTAGGGCTCCTGTACTCAAACCAGCCGAGGACAGGAAGGCTTCTGCATGACAGGTCCGCACGCGCCCATCTCTCTCGCATGCACAAACCCTGATGGTGAGGGTGCTGCTGCTGCTGAGAGAGGGGATTCCACCATCAGAGATCATAATGGGTAGATAATACACATCCTGAATAGTTCGACTAAATCTCCTCCGCCTTGTCAGAATGCTGGCTGTGTTATCTATGATAGACATAAGCAAAACAAAATATACTTAGTGAAGATGCCATTAAAGATTCACATTTCCTTTAATGGATAAAACGGATATGTGTGATTTTTTTTTTTTTAACTCACAAAATGGCCAAGGGAACATGAAGGGGAAATTTTTAAGGAATAGCTAAAATTCATAGTTCAATTGAGAAAATTATTTGAGTAGTTAATAGAGCCAAACTGATGGAATGGTGAAGTCATGGGAGGACAACAGAGACAAAGCCATTTTGAATATGGACTTACTTAGCAGCTAAAATACTTAAGGCATAGAAATGGCCTGAAGCAAATGGATCCTAGTCTTTGTTGTGAACTAGGAGGATCACCCCAAACCTAGACTCTTACTTCAAATGACAGCAACAGATATCTGTACTTCAGCAAACTATTCAGGAGATTTCAATACATTAAAAATGTCTAAGAACCACTGATACAGATGATATTTCTATGAAAACACCACATAGATTGATAAACTTAAAAACTTAACTATAATATGATGCACTTTTGTCAGAGTGAATACACCACATGGAAGTTAAAGGTGACCAAATAGTTCTATTTTATGTGATTTTTTAAATGTTATGTACAGTTTACATTATTAAAGTGGATAATTGTTGAAAATGCAGCCACAAATGTGATTCCAAACAAAAGAAAACCAGAATATGCCTGTGGAAGTGCACTTTTAGCTCCTAAATAGAAAATAGAAAACCCTATGACATGGAGACATTTTTTTCCTTTTTTTTTTTTTTTTTTTTTTTTTTTTTTTGCAGTTGAGTGTTTAGCTTTTGAAAAGAAGAGAGGATTTAGGAAGCAAAGAACTTCCCACCTAGAAAGGCCTCAACAGATAATGAGCTCTTGACAAGGGATAGTCTGTACTTCAATGGAACTGCAAAAAATGTGCTTGGCAGACGCCTCAAGAACTTGAATAAGAAATCAATGAACATGAGGAAGAACATGAAAGTGGTAAGAAAAACACATATATAAATGCATGCATGTATAGGTTTATATTCCTGTACACATATATATCACATGTACATTTATAGATCAAATCCAACTGGAAGTCTATATCGTGTTTATATATGGATCATATTCATATGGAGTCCCATATCATGTGTGAGCATATAAATCATGTCCATGTAAAGGTTTATGTCATGTCTGGGCATGTAGATCATATTTATTGAGATATATCATGTGTATGTGTACATATCAAAATAAAAATGTATGTCTTGGTGAAAATGAAACTTAGGCTACAAGGGCAATAAGAAATCTCTAAAATTTCAAATATACTTAAAAATATTATAGAAAGTCTTAAGAGATAGTCAAGTTAAAAATCATTAACATAAGATTAATAAAGGGAAAACATTGAAGGATAGAACATGTGTGGATGGGAAGTGCTGTGTATTAATTTTCAATAATAAGCAATTGCTAATAATGTGCATCCAGACTTGGTTCTTAGTTTGAACCCTCAATGGCTTGGATGAAGAGAGAGTGTTTTAGAACACTTATTTGCGAAGCCAGTCCAGTTAATGTATTGAACTAGCATTCAAGGACATTTGGAATGACAAAACCGAATATCTTAATCTAAATAAGAACATACAATAAAATATATATTTTAGGTGGCAAATTATGGAGAATTTCAGATGGGCAAAAAACGGGAGATCATATTTTAGTTTCATTTTTCTCTAACCCTTTGGCAACGATATGAACAATTTATAATTTATTTATTATTAGAACCCATGAAATAAACAATGCTATTGCGGTTTCCAGCAAAATTCCTTTCATATGATCGGTGCTTGATAAATAGTAATTTGAGCGACAATCAGCAGGAACTTCTCTTCTATTACAGTTTCTTATTACATTGGCATGTGTTAAGAAATTAAAACCAAAATGAGCTAAACATAACTTGCAGCACTTCAGCAGCAGGAGCTCAGTATGTTCTTTGCTATGTGCTTATTCTTTCTCTTGTTTTGCCTGACTTCCTCTCCGTCAATCCCAGAATGACCCTAAGCTCAATTTTCAGACTCTGGAATCTGCCTGTTCATTTGAGTTTGTAAACATCCTTGTGGCCTCACTTGTCTGTCTGCCAAACCACAAATGCATGATCCAATATGTCATTACGTTCTGATTTGCACCCTGGAATGTCATCCTGTTGACCATCTGCCACACTCCTTCTTGATAATCTTTAAATTCTGCATAAACACAACCATCCATTGTATAAAAATTCTTCCTTCAGATTCATAAATAATGCTGGAAAAAGGTTATAGCCATTTAATTGACCCCACTTAGTTCATAGAGAAACTTATACTATGCTCTCAGAGGAGATTAGAAATTAATCTATTGACATTTATTTGTATTCATATTTATTCTTTATCAGATGTCACACAGTAGCTTTTCTGAGTTTCTTTGTGATGCCTGTTCTTTACCTCACAATAAGAAAATATCTCTTGCTGCAGAGAAGCTCTCATCTATTGTCAGAATTTTTAAAACTCTTCAATCTTTCTTTGTCATTAATTACATCTCTGTTATATGTAAGCTCTCATATAAAGACTGCATAACTAAGACTAAAAATTAAATAAATGCATATAAAACAAATATAAACCTTGAAGACTATCAGCAAATCTCATAACACATACATTTGCATACATGTAAATTTAGAAGTGGAGGGGTATAATAAAGAAAAAAATTAAACTCAAGATACAAAATCATTCATCAACATATTGCAAAAATGCAATTTCAGAAGAAAAGGCAAGGATAGCAGCACAACAATAAGAATATGAACTATAAGAGAAATCATCTACCTAATATTTATAACAGATATTTAATAAATAGCATTATTATTAGCAACTAATGGATTAGCCAAAGTAGAAGAAACTGTTAAAAGTCTCTAAAATTATAAACCCTGTAGAAAGTTGTGAGTGTAAATCTTTAGAGAGTTTTACTGTATGCATAATTCTCTTTTTCAGACTGTTTAAAGTTTCACCTTCCTTAATGCAGAGGAAGGGTCAAGTTACTATAGCACCTAGCACCGTATAATTCATACCAAAGAAACAATTTAAGTAAAAGAGTGGAACCTACATTTCCAAGAAAAGAAGGCGAAATAAAGTGGAATGGAACATGGAATAGTAAAATTAGCAGTAACTTTATTTTGTTCTTCTACTTTTATTTTTTTTGGCTTGGTACATATGAATCAACTTTCCTTTATTTATATTTTTATCATTACAAGGGTATAAAAAGTTTGATGCAGTATGACCTGACACAACTCAGAAAGAGGAAACAAAAGCATATTCTTTTATTTAAAGTTAAATGTCCACTAAAAAATTCTCTAGTGTTGAAATTCAGAGTTTTCTACTTTATGATTAAGAGTGTATATGGATTTTAACTTCCCAATAGTCAAGAATCAAGTGTCTAATTTTTGATAAAGCACAGTACTACTCTGTCCAATGCATGTGAGTAAATGTAAGCAAGTGAAGAATCTGAGATTTGACTGGTAGAGAAAGGAGAGCCAGGGAGGAATGAAAGCACTGTGTTAGGCTCTCTTCTCTGACAGGAGATAAGTGACTCAGCAGGGAGTAGTAGCTGGCTCATCTATTAGAGGATGTGTGGTGCTTGATTTGTAAGGCAGGGTGAATTATGTGTGCACTACTTTGTTTAGGACAAAGAGAAATCTCTAAATGTTCTCTTGAAACCCTGTGGATAAAAACAGAATTTAAAATGGTCATTCTCTGTAGCGAAACTAAGTACATTACCACACCAGCTGTGAATTCTTGTTTGAAGGACAAGAATAAACTATGGGAATATAAACTGCTGCAGATCTGACAATGCTGAAATGGATGAAGTGAACATGTTAAAAACTACTAGGATTTCCAATGTGTGTCAACCTAAGTACCTGTATTTCAGAACTAATTCATAGAAGATTTTGAATGAAAGGGCTTGAGAGCAAAGGTTTTTAACAGCTGCATAGTCAATATCAACATTGAAAATATGCTTTATCATAACTCTGTGCGATGGAAATTTAAAGTTCTTCTAATAACCCTAAATAGCCTCCCTTCTCCCAAAACACAAACAAAAAACTTTTTGTTTTAGATTGCATTTAAATGTTTTGCTAAAAGTTATAAAGAAACATAATAGCCAATATATTTATTTTAGAAGCATAAATGTATTTTATTGCAAAGAAATGAAAAGTAATGAAGCAAAACAAAAACCAAAATATTAGAAATATTGGAAGAAGGTTAAAAGGACAAGGTTTGTTAAAGACTTTGGGAGATGGTGCAGTCTTTAGGGGAAGGGCCTATTGGAAGGAAGTTAGACCAATGGATACTGAGCATTTCAAGAGTATATGGGACCCTGGTCCTTTCCTCTATCTCTTTGCTTACAAGCTGGTATTAGGCAAGCAACTTTGCTCCACCACACCTTCCATAATGTTCTTCCTCACTACAGGCCCAAAGCAAGGGGAACAAGCGACATAGACTAAAACCTCTCAAAACATGAACCTTCACTGATTTTCTCAAGTATTTTGTCACCATGAGGGAAAACTGACTAGCACAGGCAGTCTACAAAATCTTGGTAAATATGATTGTAAATGATAATTTTCATAGCATTTTTATTGTTTTAAAATGAATTCATTTTAAAAGAATATTAAGGTCTATTAAAATTGGAATATATGTATCCAATAAAAGAACTTAGGGACCAACACTAATAATATTTTTGGTAGCAAATCATCAAAAAATTTTAAAGAATAAATTTGAAAGATAAATTGAGTTGGAACCTTGTAAACAAAGAGAGATAGACATGTATACTTATTGTAATCTCTTTCTTTACAAAAATCTGTGATTTACAAATGTACTCTTACAGTTAGAATTAAGCTTAAGACTTAAGTCAGACAAATCTTCTTGCATTAAATAAAGCCTAGTCTCTGAAGAGACAGCATGAAGATCATGAAACAGAATAGACATGCCATGGTAGAGGAATTATTTTATATTAGG